TTCCACAGCGAGGTCCTCCCAGCAGATGCTCCGGCTGTGGCACGTTGAACAGACACATGCCGCCGCCGTGCAGCAGGCTGACGGACAGATCTGCAGCGCTGCAGCTGCTGAATAGCTGACCCGGCATGAACCTGAGGTCAGAGGTCACAGGACACTGGTATTACACGGCTAGAAACGAACCAGGAAAACCTCAGGACTGAAAAATGACACAAACTGAACCTGCGGCTCCTCTAACGACCACGTGAGGCTCCAGAAGAGAACCAGTAAACAACAGACACATTAAGGCTGCGTCCACACGTAAACGGCGTTTTCGATCACTGATAACTGAGATTTTTGAAAACTCAGTTTTTGCGTTTACGTGTGGACGAGGAAAACTGAGGTTTGGTCACGCAACGTCAAAGGTGTGCGACTTTTTTGATGTGGCGCTGTGCGTCACGTTATTGTTTACATCAGATTATTTCTACAATGGCGGATAGAGAGAAAATACGATGGTTGTTAATCCGACTATCTGCAGTTTTTCCATGCTTACAGTTACACACACAGTTACCATCAGAGGCGTCAGCGTGAACTTCGGACGCAGCTTCTACATTCAACACAGCCGCTGTCACAACCCAACTCCCGACATCAGCTTTGAATACTTAATTTACTTTTATGTATGCTGTATGCATTTTGTTCATTCCTAAGTTGTGAGTCAACACCAACCAAAATGCTGTCTTTAGTTATTTACCTCTGAAATGATGACGGCACTTGAAAAGTAACACAAAATGATCTGCCTCTCCAGGAAAAGTTCAGGTTTTATGAGGATACAAAACCCTGTTCGGTCTTTCCCTCCCAGGCTTACAGACTTCTGATTGGCCAACATCTCGTTTTTAGCGTTCACATGTGGGCAGAGATATTTTTTCAAAGCTGCACGTGTGGACAGGATTAAAAAACAAAAAAACAAAAACGGAAAATCTGTGTTTTCAAAAATACCCGTGTTCATGTGGACCGAGCCTACCCATATGGAAAAGAAATAGTAAAAACATATATGATTTACTCATGAAAGTGAAACTTTCTCATTACTTTCATATTTTTTTTTAATAAATATACAAAACAAACAAGTTTCATTATATAATTTTTCAAGGGATCTTATATGTGTTTTCACTCTTGTATGTTTTCATACAAGTTTCACACAAGACAGATAAAAACTTTATAAGATTTATATAGATCTTTTCCATATGGGTAAGAAGTCCAACTTTACAGCATATTTACAGCCTGATGCAAAATCCAAACACTTTGGTCTCTGTGGATAATGTCATTAAGGATTTAACGGGTTTTTAACGACAGACTGACTGAGCTGATCGAACAGGAAACATGATCCAGCACCGGAGCTGAGGTCACGGTTCACCTTTGTTTTCATCCTGAACTCTGACCTGACGGGTCCGAGGGCGTAATAGGAGGTACTTATTGAAAATGAATAGAAAATTCAATAACTTTATTTAACCTTATTTAACTGGGTGAGACATTAAGAGCACGTTCTTTGGGAAAAGGGGGAACGACTAGAAGAAGCTGTGCTTAAATCCTGCTGAGACCTTTAAGACTTCAGAGATGTGAAGCAGTTGAAGCACAGAGTAAAGAGAGAAACTCGAGCGATGAGTCTCAGCAGGGTTGGTTCTGGTCTGACGCTGACCCGGGTTAAACAGTCTGGCACTGACCCGGTTGAGGGCTCCATGATGCAGCCGCCGAGCCGCGGCTCGTTCTGGCAGGAGCAGTGGCGCTCCGCGGTGTCGTGGCTCATCCCGAGGTTGTGACCTAGCTCGTGAGCAACAGTTGAAGCCACGCCCAGAACACTGACCAGGTGATCCTGACAGGAAGAGAGAAATCGCTTCATTTTCATGGATTTTGTCAGTAAAGTGTAAACAAAGATCAAAATGTTTTACACTAAAATCTTGTTTGGATAAAAATGTAAACGAATCAATAAATCACAGTGACACAGGAAGTAAACGGAGCTCGACGC